AAAAAAAAAAAAAAAAAAACTGTTGCTAAATTGAAAAATATTAGAGAAGTTTAAAAAAGAGAAATACATTATAATCAAATGTGAAAAGACAGAGTATTAGAAGCAACAAAGTAGTGATTTGTCACGTACTAGGGATTCTCGATAAGATTAAAAGCCAGTTTCTCATCCAAAATCATGAAGGCCAAAAATGAGATCATATATTCAAAGTTCTTATAGCCAAAAAGGAAACAAAGTTAAATAAAAATTGAAAGACAGCCATACTATGCTTAAAAATTAAGGAAAAATTAAGACATTCTCAGACAGAATTTGAGGGAGTTCATTGCTAATAAACCTGCCCTACAGGAAATACTAAAGCAAGTCTTTCCAGTTGAAATGAGAGAGCATTAGATAGTAACCTAGCAACTTGAAGCCATATGAAGAAATAAAGAACACTGGTAAAGGTAACTATATAAGTAAATATGAATGCCAGTATTATTTTGTCTGAGGAATGTAATTTCTTTCTCTCCTCTATGGTTTAAAAGACAAATGCATAAATCTATATTAAAAGGCATATAAATATGTAACTTCTGGTAACAACATAAAAGGGGATATGGAGCTACATAGGAGCAAAATTTCTGTATATTTTGAATTTTTGAAGCTAAATTGGTATTAATGCAAACTAGATTGTTATAAATTTAAGATGTTAATTGTAATTCCCAAGGTAACCCTAAGAAAATAATTTTAACATATACTGAAAAGGAAATAAAAAGAAAATAAAATGGTACACCAGAAAACAATCAATTAAACACAAAAATGCAATAAAGGAGGAAATGAGTGACAAAAAGATATGTATAAGACATACAGAAGTACTTTGAATGTGAATTAATTAAACTTTCCAATCACAAGGCAGAGAGGGGCAGAAGGAGTTTTTCCAATAATCTAATTATGTAATGTCACAACAGACTCACTTTAGATCCAAAGACACAAATAGATTGAAAGAGAAAGGATAAAAAAAGATAGTAATGGATTGCAAATTAACCAATGGGTGGACAAAGAAAAAGAAAAAGCAATACAAGTAGTAACCAAAAGAGACTATAAGTAAAAATATTGTTTTTTTTGTTTGTTTGTTTGTTTTGAGACAGAGCCTCAAGCTGTCCTCCTGGGTAGAGTGCCGTGGCATTACAGCTCACAGCAACCTCCAACTCCTGGGCTCAAGCGAGTCTCCTGCCTCAGCCTCCCAAGTAGCTGGGACCACAGGCGCCCGCCACAATGCCCGGCTATTTTTTGGTTGCAGCCGTCATTATTGTTTGGCGGGTCCAGGCTGGGGATTCGAACCCGTCACCTTAGGTGTACGTGGCTGGCGCCTTAGCTGGTTGAGCTATAGGCGCTGAGCCAAAAATATTGTTAAGAGACAAAAAAAAAAGGTGATTATATATTGATGGAAGGAAGGGTCAATTCATGAAGAATTAATAACAATTTAAAACACATATGCCCTAAACAAAGAGTCTTGAAATACAGCACTGTATATGAAGTAAAAATTGTTAAAATTGATGGAATAAGTAGACAGTTCCATAATGACAGTCAGAGGCTTAGATACCTCACTTTCAGTAATGGACAGAACATCTGAGGGAATACCAATCAGGAGACAGAAAACTGGATCATCAACAAACCTAACAGACACATACAGAAAATCCATCAGCAGAATATGCATTTTTCTTAGGAAGGCACGGATAAAATTCCACAAGATAGGCTATACACTAGGCCACAGAACAAGTCTGAATAAATTTTAAAACACTTAAATCATGCAAAATATCTTTTTTTTAAATTTCTCTATACATATACATGTGTTTATTTGGTTTCCAGTTTTTGCCTTACCAAAATTAAAAAGGCTTAAAATTTAATAACAATAACAATGTTTTAAGATAAGGACTAGATCCTTTTTCTTTTCTTTTTTTTTTTTGAAATGGAAAGTTTACATAGAATCCATCATCTGAAGCAGTTAATTAGGGCAGCAGCCCTGGGCCCTGCATGGTCCAATGGTGTCCACTGATGGGGCAAAGTCAACTGTGCCAGACATTTTAGCATTCTTTCTGCTGCTTGATGCCCAGAAAGGTGACTTGGCAGCCTTATTATACAAGATACATTTTGTTACAGACAATGGCTGGCCACCAGCTTCTCTCAGGCTCTCTTCATCACTACTGAAAAAGCATTATCCCCTTCCCTGCTCGGAGAACCCCAGTGTGGGATGATGTAATCATCCCTGGGGCATAAATCGTGTTTAGTAGTTCTATTTCCCTTTTGCCCAGAGATTTGCGTGGGGTGTGGGTGTGACCTAATTATGGGCCCTGAACTAAAGGAAAGTTGGCTGGTGGGCAGGACAACAGATGTGATAAAGAACACGTTCCTTTTTCCGTGTTTACCTTCATGCTCTTGTTTTCTACTTTGCACGCTGCTATAGGATGCCATGGGGCTTGGAACTCTGGCATCACACTGACCGTGAGAGGACACACTGCTGATCCCTTAAATAAGAAAGGGTGAAAAGATAGCATTGTAACATCCCTAAGTTGTGTGACCATTCTGTATCACCACGCCTCTTGTTATTTATAATAATAAAATGTCTGCATTGTGTAAACTATAATGGCTAGAGCATTCTATTTCCTACAGCAAAATCCTGTCCTCA